TCTACGACAGAAAGCTAAGGCACCCACATACTGAATCGCAAACCCCTCATCGTCGATCGCAGCTGTTCCGGAACTTACGTGTCAGCGGCCCGCTACCGTGCCCCATCGACCCCGCATCTTCTCAGACGGAAAACCAATGTGCCCACATGCTGAATCGCACGCCCCTCATCGTCCGTCGCAACTGTTCCGAAGATCAGATACCAGCGTCCCGCTACCGTGCCACATCGTTCCCGCATCTCCTAAGACGGAAAGATAATGCGCCCACGTGCGGAATGGCACGCCCCTCGTCGTCTCAGGCGAGCTCCGACCAATACAGTCAACCAGTATGGTAAGGATGTGCGATCAGGATGCAAGGGCCCTGGACGCCCACTTCGAAGCTCTTCGGGCGGGGCGCGGCCAGCGAAAGCGGCGAAGGCTGGACCGAGGAGGCAAGGCTGCAAGGGTGCCCTTTGGGAAGGTTGCCTATCCTCACTATGCGGGCCGACTGTGCAACCCTGGACAAACCTCCCTGCAGTAAACCTCCCTTTAGTGAAAACTGCCTGGGACCGAAACCGGCGGACCTGCACCCGCAAAAATGACGGCCGCGACGCCCTTTCGCGAACCGAAAACGGCCACTTCTTTACTCGACGTGTCAGGGTAGGAGGCCGATCAACCTCCGACACAAACAAAGGTTCTTAGAACTCTCTTCGGTTGGCCTGGGCCCTGGCCAGGCCGCAACGGCCCTCCTGGCCAGCCCCTCCTGGGCCTGGCCAGGGCTGGCGGCCGCGCGTGCCTCCTCCGAAGGTTCGGAGGTCCCCCGGCCTCCCCAGAAGTTTCCGAAGCCCTCCCCGGAGACCAACACAAACTGCTCAGACGGCGAGAGGGCTTCGGAGAAGCCCCGCCGCCTTCTGAGATGGCCTGAGGCCCCAAGGGCACAGAAATAAAGAAACACAGATCCCAGGATTCCCATATACCTGTCCATATCTTCTGGATGTTCGTCTTCCCCTTGGCTTCCCCGATTTTCCCATCATTTCTTCGCGGCCGACCGTTCACTGCGTGTTGTGTGTGTGCTTTTCCCTTCTGAGCCTCCCAGGAGGCCCAGAACCAGGGGAAAGAGAGGGAAAAAAAGCGAGATTGTTAGGAGGCAACTACTAGGAGGTTTCCGTCGGAAGGATTCAGGAAGATTGAGCCCCAAGCGGGATTAAGCCGGATTGAACAGGATTCAGCAGGATTAACCGGGATTAAAACGGGATTAAGCCGGATTAAGCCGGAGCAGGGCAAAATCAGAATTTGACCTCCCAGGAGCTGCATCCAAAATATTGCTACCCGTTTCCCCCCTCGCTCGCCGGCGAAGCCGTTCCGAAGCGTCACCCTCACCCGATCAGCACGTCTGAAGCCACTGGTTCTGCTCTGGCACGCGTGCGGGGGGGCCCCCGTCGCCCATCTTGAGCAGGGACCGACCGTCCTGGCATTCCTATAGTCCTACCACGAAATTTTCGTAGAACTCCAGACATGTTCTAAGAACAAAAACAGTGTTCTCAGACCATAAACCAGCTGCGTTAACACAAGACAGTCTCCGCCAGACATGTTCTATGAGAGCATGTCGTGCAAACCTCAAAAGGGTGCTTAGAACTTTGTTTGGTAGGACTACATGCGCGCCGGGACGCTTCGCCACTGCTTGACCCTCTCCCCCCCCCGCGCGGCGCCTCCGACGGCCCGCACGCGCCCCCTGCCCCGAGCAACCTAAGACATGCACTTCGCACTCACCGGCCATGCGTCTCTGCACGCACCGCCGCGAGCATCCCCCGCGAGGTTTGCCACGTGAAGTGCCGTCGGGGCGCTGACCTCGGGAGCCCTGTAGAAGCACCGAGGCCGCTCTTTCCCGTGAGTTCAACTTCGACTGCCCGTGGAAGGCCTCAGGAAGACCTGCGGCAAACTGCAAAGCAATCAAGGAGCAACGAACCCCGTCCCCAACGAAAAGTGTTCCATATTCAGCGCTCCGACTGCACGGCCCGACATTGGGCAGACGAACATATCTTCCAAGAGCATGGGACCCTCCGCCGGCCAAAACACACAGAACATCCAAGGGTGCCGCCCCCCAGGATGTACAAAAGCACATGTCCCACAAACACCTAGCACATCAAGGTATCCTCCCCGAATCGACCTCGATCGTATGCCTCCGTCCGACCGTACCTTTCGACACGCGTCCCGCAAGTGTAATATGCAGTAATATGGCTTCGATGCGCAGCACAAGCAGCTTGGCTTTCGAAGCCAGAGCGTGCGATCGGCACCAGCACGAGACACTGTCCAAGTGGTCTCGAGCGCCGAGGAGCTGAGGACCCCGAAGCCGCCAGATGCAGGCTAGACGTTCCGATGCGCATGCTGTCGCTGCCATCTCCGATCGAGGGTTCGAGGATAGAGGCTCTTGGCCAAGTCTGGGCCTTGCCGGGCTTCCTGGGGCGCTCTCGTCGTCGTGGCTTGCCACCCCCGCCGAGTCGCCGAACTCCCCGGCCAGAGCGTGCCCTGGAGGCCTTGGGGGCGTCGTCGTCGCCGCCGTCGCCATCCTCATGGTCCACCGACGAAGACCTGCTGCAGCTATCGGTGGGGCTCTGAATGCACACTCGCAGGCCTGCGGTTGTGGCGTCGACGCGAGGCCCTCTTCGGGTGCGCCTCTGCGTGCGCATCCTCCTCTGGGCCCCTGGGCCCCACGCCGTCAGAGAGGGTCCCACCAGCCCTCTGGGCGCGGGTGGTCTGAGCATCCTATGATTTTCGTCGTTCCTCTTCCCAAGCCCCTCTTCCCTTCGGGGAGGGGCTCCAAAAGAGCCCAAGATACAGATAACCGAAGATGGCTCAAGATGACTTCCGGCATGACTCCAAAAGACCACAAAAAGATCACAAGAAGGCTCCCAAAGCTCTCGGAAATCCGTCAGGACTTCCACTAGAGGCCCAAACCTTTCAAAAGCGTAAGCAACATTAATAGGTAAGGCCTTCTCGCCGTTTCGCTTCCAATGCGGTTTTGAGGTCTCAACATGGCCCAACGATGACCCAAGAGGCCCCAAAGACGGCCCCAGGAGCCCCAAGAGAGCCCAAGAGGCGATTGATAGTTCCAGAGGGGCTAAAGAAATCTTAGACTCCACCCTCTCTTGATCGACGCCCTCCCAGATGCTCCTAAGGGACCCTCCGAGGCTCCTAAGAGGCATCCCTCCAAGAGAGCCCCAAGACCCTCCAAACGAGCCCCAAGGGGACCCCAACACCCGATGAAGCAGCCCTAAGAGGGCCGCGAGAGAGCCCCACGTGGACCAAAATAGGGTCTCCATACGAACCCAAGACGGCTGCCAGAGCCCCCTCCTCCTCCTCCTCCTTCTCGTCTTTGTCCTCTTCCTCCTCGACCTCCTCTTCCTCTTCGTCCTCCTCCTCCTCCTCCTCCTCCTCCTTGTCCTCCTCCTCATCCTTCGTCTCGTCCTCGTCCTCATCGTCCTCCTCGTTCTCATCACCGTGGTCTTATCTGGCTGATGCACCTGTTCCACAGCATATTCGTTCACTGTCCTGATCGAGGCACCTCACCTGGGCATCGTTGCTGGATACGTCCGATACGCACTGGCGCGCCGTCACGTCCTCAGGCGATGCCACGAAATCCCTCGTGCAGGCCTGGCGCCTCCGCAACCTCCCTGCGGCAGATTCCTGCTCAAGGCCCACCTCCGCGCACCTCCGCGGCCTGGCCGTGGCTCACATACAGTGAGATGCGTCCTCCCTAGATCCCAGATTCTCCCCTGACGTTGCCCCCGAGGGGGGGGGGAGAAGGAGAAGGATGAGGAGGAGAAGGAGGAGGATGAGGCCGCAGTGCGGATGCGGCCACAAGAAGCCCTCGCTAGAGACCCAGCCCAGAAGACCCGCGCGCGAGGTGCGACTGGGGGGCAGCCCAGAGCACCCTGGACGCAGCGAGGTCTTGAAAGGACGCGGGAACTCAACGCGGAGAGCGCGAAGCGAAGAAACCTTAGGTACCCTGACGTACACCATCCGGATTCCTGATGCGCGGCCCAACTGCATGGCGAGGGTAGAGAATGCCCTCTGGGCGTTCGAGCCGCAGCCCTCGACGAGCCTGGGCAAGAGCACGTGACCGTTTGTTTTCTTTCCCAGGTAACAGACGCTACCAAGGGGGGGAGGGGAGCCGTTCGGGCGGGAGGGTACTTAACAATAACGGCGGCCGCAGCGTTCGCCCGCCATGGTGCGTCCGCGCCACCGGCGCATCCATCGCCTGTGTGCACCACAGCATGTAGAGGGGGTCCAGGCCACCCCTCCCCCAATACGATCATTAGCGCTACCGGGGGGGAAGGGGATTTGGCCCAGGTAGCGAGCGTTACCCAAGGGAAGAACAACGAACAAGAAAGGCTCACCTCAGGGCGCCAGGGGATCGGCTCAACCTGGCGAAGGTTGGCAGTGCATGATGGCTTTCGAGCAGCGCCCGGAGCCCCGGTCCGCCCCGCCCCGCCCACGGACCCCTTTAGCAACCCGTCCTTCTTTCGAGCCGCGCCCCGCCTCGACGTCGTCGTGGTCGTGGTCGTGGTCATGGACCTGGTCATCGTGGTCGTAATCGAGGTCGTGGTCGTGATGGTTGTGGTCGTCGTCGTCGACACCGTCGTCGTCGGCGTCGGCGTCGAACTCGTCCTCGTGCTCGTCGTCGACGAGGGTGCAAGACTCCGGCCATGTCCCGGCGGGGCGCAGCGCTCGCTCGCTCTCTATCTCTCTTTTTCCCCAAGCCCCGTACGTCATGACTTTTGCACAACGTCGACCCCCAGAGGTCTGGACCCCTTCCCTGGGACCGGCTTCTCATCCTGAGTCGTTTTTGTTGACGGTCCCCAGGTCCTGTAATTGAGTAGTCCTACCACGAAATGCTCTTAGAACCCAGAAATGTTCTAAGAACAAAGACGATGCTCTTGGAACATACACCCGATGTGTTAAAACAAGACAACATCAACCAGAAATGTTCTAAGAACATCTCGTGGGAACCACGAAAGGTTCTTGGAACATTGCACCGAGCCTCTCCCCGCGTGCCAGCGCGGCGAGCGGGGGAGGCTCTCCGCGCGGCGACCTCCAGGCAAGCCAGGGCTGGGCGCAGCGGGCTCCGCGGATCGGCTCGATCTCCCCGGCGCCTCCCGGCGCCCAGTGAGTCGAGGCATGCGCCCGGCGGCGAGGCCGAAACCAGCTGCACGCAGCAGATTTGGCGATCCTCACTTCCTCTCGCTCTCTCTCCCCCTCGGTGGCTCCAAAAGGGTGGGGCCCCGGGGGATGGGGGCCTCGGGACAGGAAGGGATCCAAGGGCGGACCTTACCCCGTTTGAGACCCCTCGTCCTCAGGACCCCATCCTTCGGGACCCCATCTACGCACCACCGACCCCCCTCTTTTAACGGGCGAAGAACGGTGTAAAATAAACTCTTTCGCTGTCGGGGGCGCCTGTCCCAGGGCGGCTGGAAAGTTTATACCCTTACGGTGGCACCGTAGGGGTATAAACTTTCCAGCCGCCCAGGGGCAGGTGTCTCCGACGGCGGAAAGTGTATTTTATACAGTTCTTCGCTCGCTGACTCTTCCCCGAACCACCCGCACCGGCCTTGGCGCCGCCCGCCCCCCCCCCACGCCCCCCAGGTCCAGCGGGGGCCCCGAGAGGGCCCAGGGGTCGAAAAGCAAGACGCGGCCTGCAGATTCCTCCCCTGGGACGCCACCCCACTGCCGTCCGACGCGACAGATCCAGAGAGAGAGAGAGAGAGAGCCCAGAGGGGGCCCGGAGGTAGGTCGGGGGCGGCCAAGAGGGGGGCCTTCAAGAGGGGGGGTGCAAATCATGACCGGCGGCACGTGCGCGGCCCAGCGGCCGGGCCAGAGACGCAATGAAACAAGAAGAGGCGCCATGACATCTGGGCAATCCCTTTGCCGCCCCCGAAGGTAGAGAGGCACAGAAACAAGAACGGCGTGCCGGGCCCCGAGCTGGCCTCGGGCGCAAGAGATGACATGAGCACACGCTTCCGTCGGCCCGCGCGGATCTCGGCTACACGCAGGAGTGACCCTGGGTAAGAGTGACCTTGTGTGCGCAGCTTCTTGGGGGCCGCGGGGGGACCAAACGCAGGCGCGCAAGGCGCTACTATCGCATCGCGTTCGGCGATCGGGGGGCCCAACTGGGCCCGCACCGAAGGTCACTCCGGCGAAAGGTCACTCTTACGTCTAGTTGAGGATCTCCCGGATCGGCGCTGCGCGCCCCTCCCCGGCGCGCGGAGGCGCCGCCACGGGGCCCCGGCGCAGCTCCGAGAACTCCGCGCGGACCTCCGAAGAGCTGTGCGCATGCCACTGTTTGCTCCCCGGGCAGATCGTCGCCGCCCGCCCCATCGGAGCACCGATCTGCCGATCCCTATCTCCACCTCGCCATCGCTCGGACGTCCATTCCCTGTGTTTTTTGTCGGTTTCGTGCGTGGCTTGTTCGCCAAATGATCAAGGATGCTCCTCGATGGTCCTCGCCGGAGGAAAAATGCACATGTCCGAGCGATGCCAAGCCACGGGCATGGCCTGGGCCCCACCTGCCGATTCATCCCCCTGGATGGGGATCTAGGCTGCCCTCCTCGAGCTTCGAGGGGTGTATCCCCATGTGGGTGCTGGGATGGGATCGGGAGGTGGGTGGGGATTGAGGCTGGGGACAGGCTCCTCAGTACTGACCTTCTCTGCTGCGTGGGGATCTAGGCGGTCCGCTTCGAGCTTCGAGGGGGAATCTCCCCATCTGGGTGGCGGGATGGTGGGATCGTGGTGTGGGTGGAGATGAGGCTGGGGATAGGCTCCTCAGTTCTGACCATCTCTGCTGCGCGTCGAGCGGCCATTTTCCAGCAACGCCGAGGCCACGCCCTCCCTCAATGGGGGGGGGGCGCGCGGCGCCGACGGGCCCCCGCCTCAGGAGCGCGGCTTCTCCTGCGGCCCCCCGATCCATTGCTTGCCCGCGGAGGCTCACTGGCGGACACGGAACAGGCACTGCGATGTAGAGGCAACGACGTCAAAGGGCACGAAGTGTGCACACGAATGGTTCGGCTCGCCACCTGAGAACCGCTCAAGTGGGCGCGCAGACCGCTGTGGCTACGCGCGGGCCTGTGGCGCGGCGAGAATCCCAAACCAAATGCGCCCCCAACCCCTTGTTTGCCGGCGGAGGCTCAACAGATGACACAGAACAAGCACTGAGCTCCTGAGTTCAGCAGAGGAGAAGAGATGCGCAAGTGGGGTGAGTTGGTGTGGGGGGGGGGGGGAAGCCTTGCCGTTGTGCGTTGCTCTGTACTGTACCCTTGCGGACTTCTCCACCTTTCCGTCTGTTGTGTTGCCTTTCTTGTCCCCGTCGTGCACGCACTGCTTGCGTGCGTAATCCGATTGCGATCACGCGCGCGCTTCCCTCTCTGTCCAGCACGAGACTGTCCGTTGTTTCGGGTAACGGTCGTCACCGTGGGGGGAGGGGTTGGGCTCTCGGTGGACCTTTGAGCAGGGACCCACCGTCCCGGCATTCCTATAGGCCTACCACGACATGTTCTCAGAACCAACAAACGTTCTAAGAACCGAATCAATGTTCTTAGAACATACGCCCTGTGTGTTAAAACACGACAGTCCCAACCAGACACGTTCTAAGACCATGTCGTCGAAACCACAACAAAAGGTTCTTAGAACATTGCGTGGTAGGACTATCGGCGAGCCAGGACGCTTCGCCACTGCTCGAGAACTAGGACAGAATAACACCCTTCAAGAGCATGAGACCCTCCGCCGGCCATTCATTCAAGAACGTCCTTCAAAAGCCTCCAGCACACACGAAGAGCATTTGGGGGTACCCTCCCCGAACCGACCCAACATCTTATACCACGATCCAACAGGAAGGGTAACGCTTTGGCAGCTGGGGGGGCGCTGCGATCGCGCGCGTGCAGCTCCGTGCGAGGGGTGGGCTCAGTGAAGGGGCCCTGGGACACACAAATAAATACACACAAATAACAGGATTCACAATATTTTCCCACATGTTCTGGGTTTCTGTCTTCTCACCCACTTCCTATAGCTTCCCATATTTTCTGGGGAGTCGAAGGTTAATTGTGCCTGTGTGTTTTTTTCCCTCCTGACTCAGGCCTTTCCTCCCACACGTTACGACCGTTGCGGCAGGCGGGGGGGACTTCCGAGCCATCTGAGAAGGCCCGCCCCTTCTCGCTTCCCCCTCTGCTCCCCGCACACCCACTGCTGCGGTGTCCTGGCCCCTTCTGCCCGCAGAGCCTAAGTCACCTGGACGGCGGCCACGCCTGGAACGACAATATTTGCACTGACACCTGGACAGCCTCGTCCAGAGCGACGGGTTCTGCGAAAAAGCGAGGAAACAGGGTTGGAAGTGAATGCTCCAACCATGAATTTAGACGAAGGAACTCACGATACGAAATGGTCAGTCCATCACGCTGCAACGGACTGCTGCCCAGCCCGAGAGCCACCGTCAATGTGCACAAAAAGTTCGCGACACATGCCAGCTCACCTCCGCGTTCTCGGCCCAAACATGCGACGTCCTGATTTTTCAGGACAACGTCCCTGGAAGTCCCGACCCTTTCCCCGGGACCGGTGAACTGTCCTGAGTCGGTTTTTGACGATCCCGAGGCCCGGCAAGGGCCCCCCAGGGCCGAAAATGGCCAAAAACCTTCCGTCCTGAATCACGACGCGATTATGTCTGGGGGGGAATGTCACATGTCTTTGCCCAAGACGAAGTATTCATCCAGTGTGCTCTATTCCGACATACTCCTTCGGGGCGGAGCCAGAGGCGCCGCCACGGGGGCCCGGCACCGATCCGAGAACTCTCCCCGCGGACCTCCCAGAATTTACGTTTGCGCACGCTTGTCGTGCTTCGACTCCCTGCTCCGACCTGGCTGCCCTTCGGGGGCGACGACGGGCCCGTGGCCCTCCGCGGAGGGCAGTCCATACATCCAGGAGCACCGATGGTCCCCGCCTTCGGCGAGGCTCCCGGGCGCATGCGTGGAATGACCAGGCCCAGCGCCCTTCGGCCCCGATCGCCGCCTCCGATTATCATCGGCGACACGCCAGAGTGACCCTGGTTAAGAGTGACCTTTGGTGCGCGGCTTCTTGGGGGCCGCGTGAGGACCAAACCTTGGCGCGCAAGCCGTTGCTCCTGCTTCGTTTTCAGCCATCCGGGGGCCCGTCTGTGCCCGCACCAAGGGCACTCCGGCGAAAGGTCACTCTTACGCCTGGTCGATATCGGCCGGGGCCCCCTGCAGCGGCCCGCCCCGGGCAGGTCCTTCTTCTCCCGGTAGAGCGCTCCGAGGCCGCAGCCGGCCACCTTCACGACCTGCCGCTGGGGAGCGCCCGCGCAGAGGGAGCGGGCAGAGGGGGCCTCTCCACCCGAGGGCTCTGCGGCACCTCGCGGGGGCCTCCCGAACCATCTCGTGGGCTCTTGCGAGATCGACGCTGCCGAGGCTGGAGCGGCGCTAACCGACGCGACGCTCATCGACGCTAGATCGGCGCCAGCCGGCGCCACATCGATGCTCGTCGACGCTGCATCGGCGCTGTCTCATCGACTGCCAGACGCTGATCGGCGCTACTGCACTCTGAAGACGGAATTGCAAGGGTATACAAGGCTCCCCAGATTTCCTACGGAGTGAGGGGGTCCAAACCTCCAATGTGCTGAAAAAACGAATCATAAATCGTGTGATATTTTTCGGACCTGCCAGGGCAGGTTTCGAAGACGGGGGTCCGCCAACCAACGATTCAGGAAGCCAAGATGGACCTAGGGGAGGGTTCTTGACTTCCCAGACCTCCGACGCTGTGACTAGTCGATCAACGTGCTGCATCACGATGTCGGGTGGTTTTCGAATTCTGGGGCCATCCAAAAATTACAGCAAAGAAAAAACCCAATTAGTGGATGGTTTGATCGATAAAGAGATCGACCGGGAACCGGGGGACCCGAACCCACCGGAATCGGCCCGGAACCAATAACCGGGAACCCGGGAACCCGGGAACCCAGGAACCCGGAACCCAGCCTGCCACCTGCATCGGCGGGACGCGTTCGCTAAATCTTTCAATTTCCGCCAGGACCCCTTCAGTGCAAGCACTGGTTGGGCAACTCGCTGTAGCACGATGTCGGGTGGCTTTCGAACCCCGGGGCCACCCGAGAGCAGTCGGGGAAAGACAACGTGCGCCTGCAGACAGGGCCGAGACCTCTGGGTGCCACGTGTACTGCAGACTCCAGCCGTCGGACGTCTGGGTCCGATGTGCTGCAGGATCGACGCTTCCGGTTGCCGTGTTGGTCTGCTCGAGGCCTCCCCGGGGCGCCCTCGCTGCCCCGACCAGGTGAGCGTTGTTTCACTCGGCGTTTCGGCATTGGGCGGAAAGGAGGGGGTCTGGCTCCCGACCTCTGCTTAGAGCGACTGTGTGCAAGAGTGCTGCCCCGGGGGGGGGCTCCACCCGCTCGAAACAGACGCCAAAAACAGCCAAGCTCTACTCCACGGGGGGTGAGGGGGGGTGCGAGGGCCCGCGCCGATCGGCAAAACAATGCATAAAAAACTATCACCAAGGAGATCGGGGGGGGCAGTTCCGATGGGGGCGCGAGATAGAGGAGAGGGATCGGATGCCTGGACCTAGAGACTGGCACTAATAACAAGATCGGCGGCCACCACCTCCACCGTCAAGGGACGACCCCCGATTTCGGTGCTGCCAATACTAATGGGGCCGTGCTAATCAGGCCTCTTGGGTGGCCTGCAGATGACCCAAGCTTCCCACCAGCACCAGAACTCAAGGCATGGCGGACCAATCCCCGACCTTACTCGGGGACATACGATGCGACGCGTCCATCCTCGATACCGTAGAGGCGTTGACCTGAGGAGCCCTGAAGAAGGAACGAGGCCCTTTTTTCCCCATGAATTCAAACTTCGATGTGCCATGGAAAACCTGCGGATTACCTACGGCAAACTGTAAAACAGTCAAGGAACACCAAGCCCCTCCCCAACGGCAGGGGTTCCTTCTCCAGCGCCCCGACCGCGGCTTCGCTAGGTGGGCCCCGCGCCTCCCTCCTGGCGGTCGCTGGCGCAGCCTGCCGAGGCGCGGGCCAGGCCGACGAGAGACTCAAGGGCAGGCACATACAGTACTCGGTCTGACCTAAGGAACGATACGTAAGGAACGAAGCTCCAAGGAAATCTACGAAGTCCGAAAGAACACCAGGAAGGGCTCGCCGCCAAGAAGGTAGCGGAAGGCATGCAGGCCAAAAGAACGACCGGGAAGGAACGACCGGGCTCGTTTTGACAAGTAAGTGTTGCGCATTCAAGCCGGATCCTGCATTACGTACTACGATTTGCGCCCAGGGAGCTGGAATGTCGGTCCGTGACAACTTAGACAAAACAAAACAACCGTCATGGCCCGCGCTACGCAAGTCTCCGAGAGAGCCGGCCAACAGATGCCGGAGCGCTGCTCGTCCTCCTCCTGCCACCCTCCTCCCGTCGTCCTGCTGCTCCTCCGGCCTGCCTCCCTCCCCCCCCCTCCTCGTTCTGTCACGTCTCTTCCCCCGCGCAGTTTTGGGAGGAGGAGGAGGGACGCTGAGGGGGAATCGGGGCGCTCCTCCGTGCTCCCCCTCCCCCCCTCCTCCCCCTACAGGGGGATTCTCGACGAAAATTGTTTCAACAAAATGAAATATTCAAAAAATAGTCCCCAGACTGTTGTTTCTGACTAGTTGTGAGTATTCCTCCTGTAGAGGGACGGGCACGACCTAAGGGCAGAAGCATATGGGGTAGGAGAGGCGCTGGACGTAGATTGGGCCTCCGCCCGCCCCCCGACTCCTCCTCCTCCTCCTCCTCCTCCTCCTCCTCCTCCTCCTCCTCCTCCTCCTCCTCCTCCCCCTAGATTGAGGGCGGAGGGGATGCCTCTCGACTCCGGAAGCAGGACCAGGCATCCACAGATGCACGCCTCCAAAGACCGACGGGTGGCCTCTCGGCCGCGCACCGAGACGCCTCCACGGGGCCCCCCCTCTCCTCTTCCTCGTACGGTCCTCCTCTGCCTCCCTCTTCCCTGCACTCCTCCTCTCCCCTGTCTTCCTTCTCTTTCTTGTGTTCCTCCTCTTCCCTCTTCCTTGTATTCCTTCTCCTCTCCTCTTCCCTCTATTCCTCCTCTTTCTCCCTGCCCCTCATCCTTTCGGGAGCGCGCCGACATGGATCAGCGATCCATGGACCTGGCGCGCGGTCGCCGAATCCATGGATCGGGGGAGGTGCCCTCCTGAAAGGCGGCCGGTGCCGTCTCGTGCGGAGGCGGAAATCCGTCCTCCCTCCTCCTCCCTCCTCCCTCCTCCTCCCTCCTTCCTCATCCTCCCTCCTCCAGACCTGCTTCCCCCTCTCCTCCGCCGTGTCTTCATTCTCCCCCTCCTCCTCCATCCTCCCCCCTCCTCTTCCTTGTCCTACTTCCCCCCTCCTCCTCCGAGGCCTCCTCCTCCTCCTCCTCCTCCTCCTCCTCCTTGTGTTCCTTCTCCTTCTCCTCCTCCTTCTCCTCCTGCCCCTCTGGAGTCCAACCAATCGAGCCCTCGTGACTGCCTGAGCTGGCGCTCCCCTCTCCCAAGACGTATACGAGGACCGGTTTCCCAAAGTCGGCCTGGCGACGAATGGCCCGGTGACCCCCGAAGCCATCCTCGACCGAGCCACCACTGAGTTCGTACGAGGCAAATCTGACGAGATTGCGCCCTCATCGAACTCCTGCCCTGCTTCGGCAAAAGCGGCGAAGTGGGAAAAAACATCGTTGTCCTTCGCGCTGCGAGAAGCGCGACGAACTTCGCACTCCGCGGCTCTCGTGGCGAAGAGGCGATAATATAAGGCGGGCAGGGTTCAGCGAAGATCAACACACAACGTACCAAGACGGCCTAAGGGCCCCGAACTGGAGGACCTCCCGTGTCCTCAGTAAGGGGGGGCGGAGCAGCGCTCCCAGCGGCGAAAGGTTCACAATTCTTCCCTCCCCGGACAACTGCGGCTTCAGCATTTCATATTCGCTCAACCTCGCTGCCCTCAGCTCTTGGCGCAGTGTGGAGACGCGTGCCTCCAGCGGTCTTGGGCCGCTCAAACATGCATCCTTCTTGTTAGTGTTGTTGTTACTGTTGTTGTTGCTGTTAATGTTGTTGGTGTTGGTGTTATTGTTGTGTTGTGGTTGTGTTGTTGTTGGTCTGTTGCTGTTGCTGTTGCTGTGGTGGTGGTGGTGGTGGTGGTGGTGGTGCTGTTCTTGTTGCTGTTGTTGTTGTTGTTGTAATTGTTTGGCGTCGCCCCCCCCCGCGACCCGGCCCGTGACCAACCCGCGACCCACCCCGCGACCCGTCCGCGACCCGTCCGCGACCCGCCCGCGACACTAGACCCGCCCGCGACCCTGCCGCGACCCTGCCGCGACCCACCCGCGACCCACCCGCGACCCGTCCGCGACCAGTCCGCGACCAGTCCGCGACCCGCCCGCGACACTAGACCCGCCCGCGACCCTGCCGCGACCCACCCCGCGACCCACCCCGCGACCCGTCCCGCGACCCACCCCGCGGCCCACCCCGCGACCCACATTGCATTAACGAAAAATCGGCGCCTGCGACGGGCTCGTTGCATCATTTGCAAAAACCAGGCGCCTGCGGCGGGCTTCTCCAATGCCCCGCACTGCCTGGGTCCCCGCCGACACCTCACGCTGAGCCTCACTCTTGTCCGCGACTGCGCAGAGTGCTACGTACTACTCGCGACCCGTGACCAGTCTGGCCCGCCCCCCCCTCCCCGCTCGCTCCCCTGGTCACGTCACCACTTACGCCGGCGCCGTCTGAGAATGAACTATCCTTGGACATTCCCATGCGGCGCTGGCGCGCATCGTAACGTGACCGGCCCCTTCCCCCCCCTCCACACCCTTCCCTGGTCACGCCCGTCATCGGCAAGGAGAAAAAAAACGCTACATTGCGGGCGCGGCCGCAAGAACCCCTCGCAAGAAACCCAACCCTGAGAACCCGCGCGCGAGGCACACCTGAGGGGAAACCTGGAGCACCCTGAACGCAGCAGCTCCTTCAACGGCTGCGGGAAGTCACCGCGCAGCGCGAGGAGCGAAGAAACCCGGGATGCCCTGACGAAAAGCACACGGTTTCTTGACGCGCGCTCCCACTGTACAGTCGGAGAAACATTGGAAACTGATAAATACACACGAATAACAGGATTCCCCATATTTTCCCATATTTTCTGGGGAATCGACGATTCATTGTGTCTGTGTGTTCCTTCCCCGATGAATTGTGTCTGTGTGTTCCTTCCCCTCCTGAAAAAATCAACGTAAGCATTCACTGTCCGAACTCCGCGCGTATGTCTTGGATCGGCACCGGGCCCCCCTCCATGGGCGCGTGGAGCGCGCCGGGGGCGGCGCCGGGGGCGGCGCCGGAGGCGCCGCGAGGGTGGAGGCCCGAGCGCGAGGCAAGAAATCTGCGCGACGCGCCGGCAGTTTACTCCAGATTTCGTAACAAAAGGGAGGGGGTCTGGACCCTCCAAGACAAGCCATTTCAGACCTCCCCCCGTGGGAGAACCCTCCAAAACATCGTCCCTAGACCCCCCAGGCCCTCCAAGATAGCCTGGAAGAGACCCCCCTCGAAATGAGACCCCCCTCCCTTTATTACGAAATCTGGAGTATGCCGACTCCGTTTGCGGTCCTTCGACTCTTGCGAGTCGGAGGTGGTCCAGGGTCAAGTCGGGCCTGTCCCCCTGCCGGGGGATTTGGGGCAAAAGATAGGAAATAATAAAACATATTCCCAACATGCCAGACAAAAAACTAAACAAGCAGTCCCCAGACTATTGTTGGATACTTTTGAATATTCCCCCTGCAGAGGGACAGGCCCGGCTTAACTCTTGAGAGTCGGAAGTGCTCCAGGGTTAGGGGACCATTTGGGGACAGGGGTCGTTTTCGTTTTGCTTTCGTTTTCCCTCGCTTTTGTCTTCGATTCGCCTTTCCCGCAAAACGAAATCGAAACGAAAACGGCCCACGAAATCGCCAAAAAAAAACCAACAAAAAACGGCCCAGCGACGTGCCGTCAAGCGGCCCACCTTTGGGCGCCACGGCCCTCGAGCTCATCTGTCACTCGAGGCCTCCCAAGTGGGGTCCGAGCAGATGGGGTCGGAGGGTCGCACCGCATCGCCGATGCATCGGCAATTTGCCGGCGACGTGGGCGATGTATTGGCGACGTCGGCGTGGAAACAATCGGGCTTCACATCGAGCCGCATCGCCGACGCATCGGCGATGCGGCGCGGATCCTCCGACCGCATTTGGGAGACCTAGATTTACCAATGGGTCCCTCTGCCTCTCGTCCAGGCAGCGCCAAGGAGGGGTCACCGCTATGGGGGGTCGGCACCTGCTAAAGGAATCGTACTTCCCTGAACCCTCCAGGAACCCCGAGGACCCCCAAAGACGCTCCAAATCCTCGATCCTTCCTCCTCCTCGATTCACGATTTCCAAAAGGAAATGCCCCCCGTACGTGCCCCCCGTACTGGGGAAACCAAAAGGTAGCGATACCATTAACTACTCCCTGGACCTCTCTCGGGGTGCGTCCTGACCAGAATTTCGAAGCGAATCCGGCGGAGAGGAGGGCCTCCCAGGAGGCCCAAACAGGGGAAAACGGGCCGAAGATGGCGGTACGGGTACTCGTACCTTGTCCTCCCCTTTGAAAGCGATGGGAAACTAGCGTTACGGGTACCTTCCCCTCCTCCTCCTTTGTAAGATGGCCCCCCTCCCGTCGGTCGACAGAAGTGGGTAGAAACATGAAGTAGGAAGGCGTTGGAAGTAGATTGGGTCTCCGCCCGCCCCCTGAAGAGGAGGGAAGAGGGAAACAAACACTCGACTCTTGAAGTAGGAAGGCGCCCAAAGTACATTAGGACCTATCAGTCCGAAAATACCTAAGTACCTTTGACGACCAGCGTATACCTGTTCCTCCTCCTCCTCCTCCTCATTCTCCTCCTCCTCCTGCTCCTCCTCCTGCCCTTCCTCCTCCTCTGAGAGATGGCCCCCCACTGGTGATCCCCCCTTGGCACTGCCCGTTGTAACTAAACTTGGCACTCCCCGCCTTGAACCGCACGCCGGGGATGTCGCCGACCGCGTGCCCGCGGCGGCCGAAGCCGGAGATCAGCACCTGAGCGACGCTCCTCCTCCTCCTCCTCCTCCTCCTCCTCCTCCTGCTCCTGCTCCTGCTCCTGCTCCTACTCCTCCTCCTCTCTCTCCCTCCTCTCCTCCTCCTCCTCCTCCTCCTCCTCCTGCCTCCTCCTCCTCCTCCGCCGCCTCCTCCTCCTCCTCTCTCCTCTTCCTCCTCCCTCTCCTCCTCTCCTCCTCCTCCTCCTCCTCCTCCTCCTCCTCCGCCGTCTCTTCCTCCGCCTTCTTCTCCTCCTCTCCTCCTCCTCCTCTCCTCCTCCTCCATCCTCGTCCTCCTCCTCCTCCTTCTCCTCCTCCTCCTCCCCCGCCTCCGCTTCCTCCTCTGCCTCCTCCTCCTGCGTCTTCTCCTCCTGCGCCTTCTCGTTCTCCCCTCCTCCTCCTCCTCCTCCTCCTCCCTCCTCCTCCTCCTACTCCTCCTCCTCCTCCTCCTCCTTCTCCTCCTCCACCTCCTCCTCCTCCTCCTCCTCTTCCTCCCCAGGCCTCCTACATGGGCTCCGATTAACTGGCGTCGGAGGATCGCGTCGCGTCGGCGAGGCATCGGCGCCATCGGCGTGGAGAACATCGGGCTCCATATCCAGCCGCATCGCCGATGCATCGGCGATGCGGCGCGATCCTCCGACCCCATCTACTCGGACACTATCTGGGAGGCCTAGATAAAAAAAGAGGGTCTTACGCTGCGGCTTACTTGGGCCGCCAGCGCGGTACGTTGCATTGGAGACGAGGGCGCTGACGCGCGACCTTACGCGGGCAGCTTACGCGCCGATGTCGGTGAAGACGTTCCCGTTTTTGTTGCGTCGCTCAACCTATGCTGGGCGGGTCAAAGAAATGCCGACGAACCCTCGCACTCCTCGGGAGACGAGCGGTCGGAAACATTCCTCCCCAAAGATCCGACGCTCCAAAATTAGAGCGGGCGGCTTTGGGGATGTTTTCGGCCGCTGGGGGCCCTCGCCAGGAATCGGGAGCGTCAACAACTGATTAATAACGAAAAACAGCCCTGTGGAAGTGATCCAGACCTCCAGGGCCCATGCATCAAACAAATGGGAGCAACCAAATGCCTGGGTCCTCATGATTTACCTCGGCTTTATACCCATGTCCTCCAACCCGTTATGGACACTCACTGAACTCCTGAGAAGAATACCGCTTGAGATGCATCATGCCTTAATTTCCCCCCCCACACACCATGACGTTGGCACTCATTGAAGTGTCATCATGGCCTTTCGAACTACCCGTGCTGAACATTGTGATACGCATTGAAGGGCCCAAACTCCCAACCAATAGATCTCCGTTTTGGTCCCGCGTTCCCTTACCGAGGCCCAGATATCACTGAAACGCGTTATGCGTCCAATATATTCGGGCCCAGAGTTGGGCAAGCGAGCATCCTTGGGAGCTTTCTTGTGCCAAGATGTCCTTCGAGGCGCCATGAAGCCCCCAGGAGCCCCCCAAAGGCACCAAAGAGCCCCCAGCGGCGCCCAAGATGTCCCACAGAGGTCCCAAGAGGCATCCTACAGCCACACCCAGAGGTGGCCCAAGAATAAAACAGAAACATTGAAGAAGCTTGTGGTCCACCACCCAGGCGTCCAAGGCCAATGCGGCCTCCTCGCCTTCGTGGTCGCCATCCGCCTAATGCGGCTGCTCCCCGCCCTGCCCCATCCTCTGCCCAACCTTCCTCTCATCTTCTTGGCACCCCACCGTCGTTCGTCCCTCTCCACTGCCATCATCGCTCCTTTCTCCCCAGACTTGCGACCTCCTGACTCTTTCAGGACGGCGTCACTGGAAGTCCCGACCCTTCCCCTGGTGCCGGTTTTTCGTCCCGAGTCGTTTCTTGACGGTCCCGAGGCCCAGCGGGGGCCCCCCAGTGCCGAAAATAGCCAAAAACCTCCCGCCCTGGTAGTTTCACGACGCGATCATGTCTGGGCCTTCCTCTCCCCCCTTCATCCTTCCGCTCCTCTTCTCGTCCCAGGCCGCCCTTCCGCAGATGTCGCGCCACAGCCTGCGCCGCAGCGGGGTTCACGGTGAGTGGCTCCGCGGCGCGCCGCCCGAGGGGGGAGAAAGGAGCTGGCGCAGGCCTTCTCGGCACGCGGCGGGGCGTCTCGAAAGCCGCCTGGCCCTCTCAGAGGCCGTCTCTTGGGACGCACATGGACATACTAATACTATATGTCCTCCTTGGAGGCGCGCGTCCGACCCGAACATATAGTATACCCATCTTGTAGTAGATCGTTTCCCGAGCGGTGTGGCCAGAAAGCGCCCGCCACGACGCATATACTATAAGATTTCTCGGTGCGCGCGTCGCCCCTGGGGGGGCGACGCACATATAGTATAAGTATGTTGGGGTGTTGCCGATCTCTGTCTGCAGAGAGGGCACAGAACCCAGACATGGTCGCGTCGTTAAAAAATGAAGACGGGGAGTGTTGGGCTATGTTCGGCCCCAGAGGGGGCCCTCGCCGGGCCTCGGAAGCGTCAGAACACGACTCAGGACGGACAACCGGTCTCGAAGAAGGGGTCGGGGCTTCCAGGGGCGCCGCCCTGCAAAGATCAGGAGGTCGCATGTCCGGGACTCTTTAGCCCTGATCTCCAGGAAGAAGCTCGGGCACCAGGAGAGCACCGAAGCTGGAGGGCCTTCGCTTGCCGGTCCCCGGGAGGCGGTGCTCGCTCGGCACTTCGCCCGCGTGCCGGGCAGACCGTGCTCCGATGCGTTTCGGGCCGCTGGCACCGTTCTTGGAGCGTGTGGTCCAACGGTACGGTGGGAGCAACCGAGGCCCTGATGGGGGAGGGCAGAAGGGGTCGGGACTTCCAGGGGGCGCCGCCCTGCGGCCTCCGAGGGGGGAGCCGCAATCGACAGCCCCCCCTCCCGCCCCAAGAGGCCCCCAAAAGCCCCCCAAGAGGCCCGGGGGGCCCCCAAGACGCCGCCGAGGAGCCCCAAGAGACTCCGAAGAGGTCCCCAAGAGGCCCCAAAGAGGCCATAAAGAGGACTCCGCGGCCGGCGGAATGAGCGAAGCGATTGAAGAATCGGGACGTCGCACGTCGGGGAGGACTTCTCAAAAGGCCAGGGGGGCCTCCAGCGCCTCCCGGGCTTCTGAGAAGGGCCGCCCCGTCTGCGCTCCCCTTCTGGGCTTCTGTCTGGATGCTCACTCCGGGGACCTTCCCAGAGACAGCTGCTCCACTCTTGCGTCGAAGCTGCGTCGGACGTCCGTCGACTTGAGTCGACCCCGAGTCTGAGTCGAACTGGGATCGAAGTTGAGTCGAACAGGTCCGTTTGGTGGGCCCCAAGGAGGTCCCCCAAACGAGCATCTAATCCTGTTGCTCCCGTCCTGCCGAAGGACCACATTCCACGAATGATGCTAGCAACCCGAAACGTATGGGAACAGCGTCTGCCCGGCACACTGGCGAAGTGCCGAGCGAGCACCGCCTCCCGGGGACCGGCAGGCGAAGGCCCTCCAGCTTCGGTGCTCTCCTGGTGCCCGAGCTTCTTCCTGGAGATCAGGGCTAAAGAGTCCCAGACATGCGACCTCCTGATTTTTGCAGGGCGGCGCCCCTGGAAGCCCCGACCCCTTCCCTGGGACCGGTGTTTCGTCCCGAGTCGTGCTTTGACGCTTCCGAGGCCCGGCGAGGGCCCCCTCTCGGGCCGAACATCGCCCATAACCTCCCGCCCTGATGTTTTATGTTTTTGTTCCTCTGGCGTGGCGAGGGGCGGCCCCGCCCCCGAAAGCGGCCGAGGCTCCGGCGCTCTGGGACACGCACCAGGAGCAGCCAGCAACAGAGGAAAGACACCTCCCGCCCCGAGTTCTGCACGGCGCGACCACGTCTGGGGTAGGCTGGAGCACCTCGACCCTGGAGGAGGAGGAGGAGGAGGAGGAGGAGGAGGAGGAGGAGGAGAAGGAGGAGGAGGCGGGAGGAGGTGGAGGTGTAGGGGGGGGGAGGAGGAGATGGAGGAGTGGAGGGGGTAGGAGGGGGAGGAGGAGGAGGAGGAGGAGGAGGAGGAGGAGGAGGAGGAGGAGGAGGAGGAGGAGGAGGAGGAGGAGGAGGAGGAGGAGGAGGAGGAGGAGGAGGAGGAGGAGGAGGAGGGGAAAGAGGAGGAGGAGGAGGAGGAGGAGGAGGAATCGGAGTGGGCGGAATGGACGGTGAGGCGGGTCAGCAGCGGCAGGCGCACGCAGCCCGAGGAGAAGATTACTAGGCCAGGGGAGGAGCAGCAACAGCATCGGGAGCAGGCACAGGGGGTCCCAGGTCGGCCTCGAACCTTCGGACCTCCTCCGTGTCTCCCTGGGATGCCTGCCCTGTCGCAGGCGGTTCCGACGGGTCTTAGCATTCTTATATGCAGGTGTGAACTTACAGATTTCGGCCAAGCCCCGCAACGTGAGCGACGAGAAACTCCCGCAAGTAAAACCAAAAACAAACGGGCCTGTCTTCCAGAGTGCGTGGCCTCGGAACAGGTTCCTATTACCTGTGGTGGAGGAGGAGGAGGAGGAGGAGGAGGAGGAGGTCGGAGGAGGAGGAGGGGGGGCCTGGCCTCCTGGCCTCCTACACACCGTGCGGCCCAGGCACTCCTGGAATCTGAATCTGGCGCGCGCTTTCCTCGCGGTGGCTTTGCGTCCGCATCTGAGGCAGGAGACGGCAGGCCCTGAGAAACTAACCAGGTGGGGTCTCTGCAGGGCAACGCGGGGTCTTCTTCTGGGGGCCAACGCTCCTCCTCTCCCTCTCCTCCTGGCAGGGGGGGTAGGGGTAGCGTCGGCAAAAGACCCCGTCCTAACTGTAAGGTCAGCCACGAAACTCAAAACTGCCTCAAGGTCAGTATATATTTGCCTGTACGTCGTGCTAGTGCCTGCAGGTAGAAGGGGCGAGGTCAGCCCCTTCACGGGCCGCTTCGTCCGCCTCTTTATTCCCACGTGCCAGGAAACTCACTCTAGGGTCATCCGAATTCAGGTGCTGCGAGGAATGGGATTTGATTTTGACCGTAGTGAGCCCTACCAGGCCAAGAAAACTATGAAT